AGTCCAAATATTGGTCTTTTGTTTGACATAACTTATTGTCAGTGTTTGATTACTACAACAAGAGTACCATTTACTGTTAATATTATTGTTCAAAGACTTGATATTAATGTAGTGTTTGATTTATTGTGATGAAAATTAGCCATCATTTTGAATTTATTGTTTTCTTTATGTGAGCTTGTTATTTATTTTGTTCATCTAGTTCTTTTGCTATCATAATTTCTGCTAATATTAATTTTATTTTCATGATTAATGGGACAAATTTAAAGGAATTGGAAAAATGCATTTACATAAGGTTTTGGTTATATAAGCATAAACTTTGCACTAAGAAAAAAAACAATTTCCACCTCCCATAGGGGATAACATCCTTAATTGGATTTCGAAAGGTGAAATTTGTTCAAATTACATAAGTCTAGTGGTCATGAAGCACAATATTTTAGAAGCCTTTACGGGCACATAATCTGAAAAGATTACTAAGACTTATGATTTCCTTAACGAAATTAAAAAAATATTTTTCAAAAACAATAAGGTTTAATTTTTACTTCTTTGATGTCTATAAAGTATAAGGGTCAAGGAAACATGAGAGAGTACATTATGAATATATTTCATATTGCTTCAAGACTGCACTTAATATCAATTTTTTCTAAAAGAATTACTTTTTCTTTTGATTTCAGTATTGCTTCCTATAGAGTTTAATCAACTCAAAAAGAAAAATGAACTCTAAATGTGCTCATTTTTCATTATGTGCAAGAGGAAGAAAGGTTGAAGCATAATAAGTTTTAAAGTACTCACTTGAAATTGCATAAAATAAGGGCAAAAATAAATCAGAATGTAATTGTTAAGGTTCCAACTCAAAAGAGACAATAATATGTTATAAAGTGTTGTGCTCTTTTGTAATAAGTTAGGATATACGAGGAAAAATTAAATTCTAAAACAATTAGTAATTACTTTGATTATTCTATGTGATTTAGGGGTTATAAATATCTTTACTTGTCAAAGGTCTAATAAGTAAGAGATCATCAAGTTTTATGGACTCCGACTTACTGGAATATACATGAAAATTTTTGTCACATGAACTGCTAATTATGGATTGATAAGAAAGACCACTTTGGTTATTTTGTGACAACTAAGTTATAGTCCTTTATTCTATATACAACAAAAACACTTTAAGTCTAAACACATAAACATTATGTTTCTTGTTGTTAAAGAAAATTCAGAGTAGTTATGTGTTTATATAACATATTGGTACATACTCATAATTGCGCGCTTATTAAAGAACTATCACCCAAGATCTTTCATGAGCACATTACTCATTTGTGTGTAATATCATTTAAGTATATTCAGTTTTAGTAGGAGTTTGTAATTTTAATGCTTGTTTGTTATAGACACAATTTTAGTTACTTCAGTTTAAGGATATTCATGTTAAAATTATTTTATGTAGAAATAAAGTTTGTTTTAGTTTATCTACACTCTAGTTTTGGTAAAATTTGATCTCACTAATGTTTAAAGAGGACCAATTGGAAATAGACATGTGTGGTTCACATTGCTTGTAATTTTCATGCTACGCTCTATGATTGATCTATGTCATTTGACTGTGTTTATATACGTGACCATTAAAGGGTCTAGTCATGATAAATATGGCGAATGCCGCTTTGATCCTATATGGATATAGTTGATGGACGAGATTGTTATAGAATACATATTGCATAATAACAAGTTTTGAACTCATAAGGTTATACATTTATCAAAAACATAGGTTGCCTAAGTGGGAGATTGTTGGAATAAAATCCATAATTATAGGCACATATTTATAATGCATATTGTTATCATAAAATATGACACAAATTAAATGATAAATTATATTATAAAGTCATAAGATATTAGAAGTTTCATGAAAACAAAAGTGTAGATATTTTTAAAGCTGTATTATAATTTGATGAAGGTTAGAGTTATAAGTACAAACAATAATTGATTCTTAAATAAACTATATAAAAGGGGTTATAGTCTTTAAGAAATAGATGATCTCGTATTTACTTTTATCCCAGTCAGAGAGTTTATATTTAATAGAACTCTCTCTTCATGGAAGATTTAAAGATTTCAATCTATCAATTAATCCATGTACGTTTCTTCAAATATAGTATTTCTTCTTCTTGATGATTTTGCATGATTAAATTCTATTTGATTTCATATTTATTATAATTTGGTTCTAACAATTTAAACTGCATCAACTCGACAACTTGTTCTAGGATCGTCACCCGCGTGCGGCCAACACCAGCCAAATTAATCTCCTTGATGGCCTCCAAGCTATCAAGCTCTACAATAACTTGATAACCACCCAACTCCCATGCAAACAGCAGCCCCAAACACCCCCATAACTCCGCTTCTAGTATCGAGCATATACCTATATATTTAGTAAACCTCATCCTCCATTCGCCACCATAATTTCGGATTACTTCTTCACACGTAACGTGATCCGACTCCATCTTCCGAGTCCCGTCCATGTTTACCTTCAGCCAACCACAAGGTGGTAGCTGCCATAAATTTACCCCAACCTGAGTGTAAATGCGATCTATTTTGGAAGTCTCTCATAGACAAAACTCGACAAGTGGCCTCCATAAATTGTTTACCCTGTTCAAGCACATATCAATTATCGGCCAAAGGTGAGTTAAAAGTGATCAGCTTGTGGTAGAACCAAATAAAATATCTCAGTTTTCAGTCACACTAACAAACTCCTTTGCATTACCAAGATTCAGAGTTATCCACTCGTTTATATTCATCGTTATAAATCTATGTAGTCGGTCCCGCTTAACCGCTGCAACCCATATTGAAAGAGTCAAATGACAAAGTTATAGTAAATTATTAGAGTCCTCCATCGGAGCAGAACATAACGGGCACCTGATTGCCGGTAGTTAGATGTCTCTGCAAACGTTCGGTCATTACTCGATCACAACACACTAACAATAAAAACATCTTTACCTTCTGTAAACCTCAAAATTTGTTGATAGTAGGCAAAATATTTTCCCCTGAATCAATACTTTGGTCGGCGAGAAACTCGTAGATCGGTTTCACAGTAAACCGACTTTCATCTCAAAGATTTCAACCTACCAAATAGCAAATAGGGGTTTTGGCACCTTTTTAGCTGCAATTTTCAACAACACGTTTAAAGGGAGATATTGATTCAAAAGAGACTAGCATCAATTCCCCCACTCATCGAGCATGTCAACCACCATTACCTATCGCATACTTATCGCTCCAGTTGCTATGACATGATCAATTTATGTTCTGTCTAACATCTAACCAAACACATGCCAAGTCCTTCCATAGCTTTGAACAATTTGAGACTCGAAACGTTTCGATATTCCTTTCAAGCATTTATATTTTGATCGAATAAAACTCACCCATAGCTAGTCTTTATTGACCAAAAATATTAAATACAACTTTCATTAGAAGCGCATCGTTTTATTTTCAAGGTTTCGAAACCCAAAACCAAAATGCCGTACAAAGAAGAGTGCCGATTTGCACCATGATCATCGAAATATGTAAACATATATATTTTTTACATAACAAAAATTGTGTTTTATTTAAAATTCATGTATAATAGATATAAAATGATTTTAAAATAATTCAGACAATATCTGCATCCAAATCAAACTAATAAGGTGTAAAAATAATTCCAAAGGATTCCCTTACTAAAGCAGCTATAACCCCTCAACATTCTACAATCATCTTCTAAATCAGAGATCAAAACTAACATGATGGTGCATCTAAATCTAACTTAATATTTCACAAACTGTCCTACTACCGTATTATATATATATTGACCCTTACATCTCCGACATAACATAATATCACTTAATCGATTATTCCAAAACTCCTCAATAATTTCGATATCAATCAACATTGAAACTACGTTCAAAACACTTCCGCGAAACAAGTGTCGCTCCATAATGAAACCCCCATAAACATATATACATTACATACAGTGTTTAAAGAGGGTAATTGAGATGAGTTGGGCTTCTGTAACACTAGACAGACTCGTTAGTTTTGCTGCTTCTGTGATGTTTAGTTGGTGTTGAAGAAGATAAGATTGAAGGGAAGAAGATGCAAGATTCATCATTTGTCGTCTGAACAGCTAAGTTGTCCGATAAATAATTTACATGATATGCATGGCAGTGGCACCCAATATTCTATAAGTTACCAGTGCCAGTGTGCGTAGTAATCTCTAGACTCTAAACCTCGTCTATAATCTGTCTGCCTATGATTGTGGAGTACAAGGAAATAAGGTGTGCCTATGATTGTGGAATTCAGATTATGTGTCTGAATGTGGTAAATCTTTCAAATGAATATATAATTAGAATCAGTCAAAGCAAAGTGCGACTATTAGAGATTGGATGGACTGTGGAGTCTTCTCATTGCCGCCTTACTTTTCAACAAAACTCTTCCATAAACTGCACTTGCACTGGACGCTGCAATTCTTCCTTTCCCTCGGAAATCATCGCTTCTCCTCTTCATTTTGCTGCTTCAGTCTTGATAGGAACAGTTTGGGTTGTCTCGGAAACAAAAATTTAAACATTATCTGGAATTCTGGATCTCTTTTACTTGCACACAGGGATAGCTTTACCCCTTTTCTGTTTATTTCTCATTGAGCTCGAGGCTTGATTTTAAACTTTTAGACCCACCAGAACAATCTTGCTAAACCTAAGACAGACAAAAGACTTTCAGCCCAATAATTTCTTTTAGCATCTTATGTGTTCTTGGATATTATTTCTCAATTTTTTTTATTTGGAGTTGGACCTCGAGACGACGGCTTTAATGTAGAAGCATGTCTGATCAGTAAGTTTTTCCGTTTAATTGAACTCCAAGGCTCATTCAGAAAAAGGTGTTACTTCTTTAGCAAATCGGAAATGTTTCCCAGACCCTTGTATGGAAGGGAAAATCCGTCATTATTTTTGCTTTTAAGAAGAAATAACAATAAACAAGTTTTGCAGTGGGATCAGATAGGTAACAAAAGAAACTTTAAGGGACATTAGTATATTAAATACAGAGGAGGGAAAATTGATTTCCAGAAACAAATAACAATAATGATGCTTCCCTCAACCAAAATATAAATTATAAAGATGATCATACATCATTACAAAAGCAGCAGATCTTGATTCTGATTTTGTGGGATCCACTCCTCCGACAAGCAAGGCTCTTAAACCTTGCTGGTCGTTGGCCATACCCATCTTCCCATTTCAACAACTCCACACTCAATCCTTGTGCAGGGTTGTGCTTCTAATTTTAATCTAATCCATCAATTCTCAGACAGTACACATTTTAGTCAAGACTATAGAAGCTAAAGTTATACTAGTACTAAATTTTTCACATGCCACTGGCAGTTTTTTTAGAGAAATCAAATTCAAAGTTCCCTTTCACATCATGGAGCAAGAACCAATATCAAGGGAGGGAAAACAAGGGGGGGGGGGGAAATCTCCACCGAAAAAACATTGGCAAAAGACCAAGAAACAAAGCTCTGTTTCACTCTCTCCTAAGAGTTTGCTTCTCCGAAACAACCCTCTGTAAAAAAATGCGGAGATCAGTCACCATTCCCTGATAGGTTGATGTTCACCCTGACTAACCTATAATAAGTTTTAATATGGTAAATTTATGGAATTAGTAAATACTATTTTAGACTAGTCTTGTTTGCAGTGGCAGTCAATTAAGAACTAGTCGTCGGCATTTGGTTTCAGTAGGAGAATCAGAGGCATCATAAAGACCCCTTTTCCTGATTACTTGACCACAGGTGTTTAGAGTGTTGCAGGGGTTAATGGTGGTGAGGGAGTCTTGGTGGAGGAGTTGTGGGGGTGGTGGAGGTGAAGGAATGGTAACAGGTGGGATCTCAAAGGACTCGAGTGGGGGTGGTGGGTGTCTCCATTGAGGCAATGGTCCCGCTAAAAGAAGGGTTTGCAAGAGCGGCCCAGCTTTCTTCACTGCCTGTAAAAGCTTTCCCTTTTCAGGCAATGGCTTATCAGGCACTAGCTCTAAGGATTGAGATGGTGGCAGTTGTGGTTGTTGAATCGGGTCAAGAACAGGAGATGAAACAATGCTCCCCTCACAATCAGATGAGGCGAAACCATTGTTGGAGTTAATTCCTCTTTTAAGTTCATCCTCGACGCCAGAAACTCCGGAGAGAGGAGCGAGTTGTTGCTGTTGCTGAAGCAGGAGCTTCTCAAGGAAAAGTTTCCGGTGTTTCTCCTGAGCTTCATCTCTCTCTTTCGTTGCTTTGCTTAGTAATTCTTTGAGTTGGATTAACTGGTCATCTCTCTTTCCCAGCTCCTCCTGAGCAGCCATCCTAGTCTGTTCCAGCTCCAAACTAGTATAGAAAAGAGAATACCTAAGCTCATCCATTGTCTGCATAATTAAAGAATAAGCCCCATTTTACATGATCAAACATAAGAATTAGAAAGGGAGGACCAGCAAGAAGTGTGTGTTTTGTTACCTTTCCTTGACAGAAGTAAGCCAAGCTAAAAAGAGGACCTCTCTGACCGTCCATCTTCTCAGAGATGGAAACTGAAGTGAAGTGAAGTTAAAAGTGATTCTTGTTTGCTGTTCAAGTGTGGGAATTGAGAATAGGAGAGAGAAATAGAGGATAAAGAAAACAAATATGGGGTTTATGAGTGTTTTCTTCCAAATCTTATAAGGGGCAACAACAGCCACTGTTGTTTTCTTTCTTTTGCTCTCTCTTATAAGGGGCAATAACAGGGGTTCGACAAAAGCCTATGGATTCCCCCATTCTAAAATGGTTGGCCAGTCTTTCAAACTCGAAACCATGGCATTGGCAGGCACCCAACGCCAAGTAGCCTAAACAATCATACATCGCATCCAGTGCTGCCATTTTCAACTTTAACCACACACCTCTGCTCTTCTCTTTTGGTTCTACCACTATTAGCTTCTCGCTTTCCTTGTTTTGGCCACCTTATCTAGATTAATTTACCGAGGAAAAAAAACCAAAAGAAACCACTTAAATTTGTAACCTTAAAAGATGTATGAGAGCAACAACCAACATTCACCTTATCCATGCTTTTCTTCTGCGGACGAAAAGGGTATTGATAATTTATTTATTCAATAAGATGTGGAATACATGATCCAACATCTATTTATTCAGTACTTAAACAGACGCAAGCATATTCAAATTCATTTTTATGGCTGCCGTTTGAACCAAATCTGGTACCATAAGCATCGTGGCTCACACACTTATCCAACCATCACTTGCTACCTGGCACAGCCCGACGATGGTGATGAATGATGGCTTTGTGTTATTGGTGAAAAAGAAAGCTTGTTTAAAACCATAAGCATCGTTATCTACAATTAGATTCATCAAACTTGTGCTCTTATAAGTCCGATCTTTACTAGCCGTCAAGACCAGCCAGAATAGAGGACTTCTTGGTTCTGTCGCTGTTGATTTCCCATTTGGTGGCACCGAGAATAACCGATTCGCAATCGTAGATCATGGTTCCATCGCTGCTGATTTTGCAGTTAAAATAAGATGACATCGTCCTTTGTTTAACAAAATTTTCCATTCATATTGTATACCATATCAAAGGGCTTGATTCGTTTAAATGGCCAATGCCCAAGAATCTTGAACGAGACAATGTTTGGTTTCAATCCTTGTCTCTAGTTTTTTTTAGTTCAAAGTGAAGGTAAAATAAATTGGAAAAAAAGATTTATGTTTTATTGTCCTACAAAATATCTTCTTCATCTTTACTGAATAAATAATCTGCCCCTATTATCTTGTTTTTGTTATTCTCTTTTGGTTGTGGAATAATTTATTGGCATGTGATGTGAGTTGGTAGCGAAGACTAATGTTTAGGTAGCAAAAATGATTAGATTATGTATCATATCATTATGTTATTACTATATTTTGTGAAGTTCATATATGAAGATTGGGAAACAAAAATCAGCATGCCTGTATTGTCAAACAAAGATAAATTATGGAATAAAAGGATTAAATGGTTCAATCCATGGAACTCGCTTGTTGACTTGGAGAATGTTTCCATGTGCAATTTTCTTTTGGAATATATTACAATTTAGAAGCCTATAAATGTAGACAGAGACGGAGGGCCCAAGGGGGCCGTCCCCGCTCCAATTTTATGTTTTATTGTCGAGTCTTAAAATTTTTCATAGAAAAACATTGAGTTAATCAGCCTCTCATCGATTAAAGTTTCTTCAATATTGCTTTAATATGATTTTTATTGTTCGACACTCAATTTTTAAAGATACATAATTAAATAATATTATATTTATTTTTTTTAATTATAATTATTTGATCTTATATTTAATTTTAGTATTATTTTAGTTAATCTAATAATCGTTAAGGTGAATAGTGATTATTAAATTTGATTTTTTTATGTTCGTGAATTAATTTTATATAAATGTAGTTTGCCATGGGAAAAAATTCAACAATTATTGAACTTTTTAAGAGAAAAAGTGAGAAACTTCAAAAAATACAATTACAGCAACTGAAACTTCAACTTGTACACTTATTGACGTTTCACCTTCGAAAGATAGACCTTTAAATATAGCTAGAAATCAGAAACCAAGTACTGAATCTAATTACTTGGAGCGAGATCATGGTAAGTACAAGCAAATATGGGAATATCCTTCTGAACAAGAAAGAAATACAATTCGAATAGCTTATATTGCTGAGGGTCCATATCAACCAGTACTCTCTGAATTCAAAAAATATGGACATGTTTCTCACCTTCGTCGATTTCAAGCTTTTTGGTACAAAAACTTTTGTTCATGGTTAGAATATTCTCCTGAAAATAATACTTCCTTCTGTTTTATTTGCTTTCTTTTTAACAAACCAGATAGTCATCCATCACACAAGACTTTCACTATGAATGAGTTTCAAAATTGGAAGAAAGCAAATGGAAAAAGTTGTTATTTTAAGATGCATGTGGGTTTAGAACTTAATTCACTTCATAAAATTGTTGAGCTAGAATTGGAGGATTTTCTTAACCAGTCCAGTCTAGACACATGCCACAAGTGTTGCATAAGCAAACATCATTACAAATTGCTAATAATAGGCTAACTTGAAACCTCTATAGATGCATCGCATTGACTAGCTTTACAAGGGCTACCAATAAGAGGTCGTGGCGAGAGTGAATCTTCATCTAACCGAGGAAATTTTCTTGAACTCATTAAACAATTAGCCTTTTATAATAAAGATGTTGAAAAAGTCGTATTAGTAAATCTCCAAAAAATGATTCTTACATTTCGTCTGATATACAAAAGGAGATTTTACATATTCTGACAGAGAAAATTAAGAGAGCAATTCGTGAAGAAAAATTTTGTGTTATTATTGATGAAGCAGGGGATGTATCAAGAAAACAACAAATAGCTATTATTTTACGGTATGTTAATAATTTCGGTCTAGTAAAGGAACGCTTTTTTAACATTATTCATGTTCTTAACACTTCAGCAGTGACTTTAACAAATGATATATTTTCTATTCTTTCTCGTTATTACTTTGACATAAAGAATATTCGAGGCCAAGGTTATGACGGCGCAAGTAACAAACGAAGAAAGTGGAATGGGTTACAAGCATTAGTTAGTAATGAGTGTCCTTTTGCTTACTATGTGCATTGTTTTGTCCATCGTTTACAGTTGGCACTAGTAGCTACAGCGAAAGAGATCATACCTGTTTATCATTTTTTTCCAAGTTATCTTTTTTTATAAATGTTGTTCTTGCCTTACATAAGCGCATTGATGAACTAAAAATTGCTTATTCTAACGAGATAAATCATTTGATTGAATAAGAACAACTTGAAACTGGAACTGGTTTGAATCAAACAACTAATTTGCATAGGGCAGGTGATACTCGATTGGGTTTTTACTTGAGATCATTTCAAGCTTGATAAAAATGTTTAGTGCCACTTGTGTTGTTCTATATAAACTCATTGATGAAGGAAATACATCTTCTGAACGTAGAGAAGCGGCGGCAACTTTAGAGAATTTGACTTCCTTTGATTTTGTCTTCATTTTACATCTTATGAAGAAAATTTTAGAAATCATTGATTCACTTTCTCAATCATTACAACGAAAATATCAGGATATTTTGAATTCACTACATCTTGTTGAGAGTTCAAAGATACTTTTGTAGAAATTTAGAGATGATGTATGGAATAATCTTTTTATGGAGGTTACCTCATTTTGTGAAAGTCACAACATAGATATCCCATATATGAGTTCTATTTATAGAGAAAGAGGAGGCAACCCTCCAACAATATCATTTTACAGTTGAACATCATTATCGAGTAGAATTTTTTTATGCTACAGTTGATGTTCAACTACAAGAGTTAAACAGTAGATTTAATGAGAAGTCTATAGAGTTATTCACTCTTTGTTGTGCTTTGGACCCAAGAGATGGTGACAAAAATTTCAAGGTTGAAGATGTTTGCAATCTTGTGAATAAATTTTATCCGGAGGATTTTATGGAAGTTGAAAAGAATTATTTACGAACAGAATTGTGTCATTATGAGGTGGAGTTATCTTGGAATTCAGGTCTAAGAAAATTGTTGACAATCTCTGATCCAAGTCAATTCCTTATGACCCGGAGGAATGATAAAGTCTGAGGAACCCTTATCTTGTATTGCTTCCAAGGCCTTGATTGGATTTGGATTACATTTCAATAAAGAAAGCTATATTCATATATATTTTGAACGGTAAAACTTCTATTGACTCTCCCTGTTTCTACAGTAAGTGCTGAAAGAGCTTTTTCTACAATAAATATCATCAAGACAAAACTTCGCAACAAAATGGATGATGAATTTTTTGAGAGTTGCATGCTTATCAACATTGAAAGATATATTGCAAGGAGCTTTAGTACAACATCGCTCGTGAATGCATTTCGAAATTTGAAGGAACGACGCGTTTTATTATCATTATGTGATAGTTATGTCTTTTGTACTTTTTAAAATTGTATTTTTTTATTATTTACTTTACTTTAATTTTTAATTTATTATTTCATATAAATATAAAACTATGCATATTTGATGTTATCATTTATATTTTTTAAAATAAACAAATAATAAATATAAAATTATATATATAACTTAAAGCTGTTAAAAAAGTTTAGCTTCCGTTGAAATATAATTCTGGCTTCGTCGCTGAGTGTAGATAAGTCCTATCCCAAAATGTTTACTTGTGTGTGCGCGCCTTTGTCCCTCGCGCATCATGTTCATATGTTTGTAGTCAATGGTTTATTGTTTCAATGGTCTATTAAGGGAGCTAGTAACCAAACTTTCTCACCAATATTTTCCCCAATGAAGCTAATGGACCCAATTCCAAACCATAAAAGTCGTCATTGTTGTAAAGCTGAAAGCCTTCCATTTGACTAATTCATGACCAAACAAATTTATTCAATTAATTATTTAAATCCTTTTATATAAAAGCAAAGAGAAAAGATATATGTTAAACCTGGGGATAAGTTGTAGGTGTTGGCTATAAAAGTCTTAAAATCTAAACGAAAAAATAACCATCTAAATTAATTTAAAGGGTATGATATTTTTGAATTACGAGGTGAGAAAAGATGCGAAGCGAGTAAAATCCAAAATGAGCGGCCTTTATGTCCCATCTAGTGATACAAAGAGAGTGGTATTATGTATGGGCATTATTGGATTATGAAAATCAACCTGCAGATGTGGGCTTGCCTTGGGAAACGGCAAATTCAACCAT